TGCTGAGTAGGGTGGAGGGTCAGAGAAAAAGAGGAAGACCCCCCCAACGAGATGGATCGGCCAGGTGGCATCATTGATGGACTGAGGTGTGGCAGCGGTAGTGAGGTTGGCCCAGGATTGGACATTGTTTTGTTCTGCTGTGCATGGGGTCGCTATGAATCGGTTCTGACTTGATGTTCTGACAACAACATTGAGTTTTTGATGTGGGAATGGCCAGGAGCTTGGCTATCAAGAGGACAAGAGAACAAGGGAGAACTGTACCCACCTTGCCTCCGATCTCTAGCCTCACCTTATGACTACAGACTACTGTATTGGCAGTTGAATACATACGTTTAAGATGTCACTCCACACCAGCCCACAGTTGGACCATTTTTCTTCTCTTTTGTTGCTCCTGTTCTGCTTCCTCTTCCAGTCAGCACTCAATCCATGTCTCTGTCCTATCCTCTGATGCTCAGGGTCTCTGGATCACGCCATCTGTATCTGTTCACTTGCTTTCCCATGTCTGTGTTATAGAAGGTTGGCCCAGTGTGCCTGCCTGCTCCACCATCTTGCCCCAGAACTGCCACTTCTCTCCAAAGATTTGGACACTGTTTTTCTTGTGCATTTGTTTCTTAGGACTGCTGTGATGGGTGGCTTAAAATGGCAAACATTTATTGTGTCATAGTTCTGGAGGCTAGAAGTCCAAATTCAGGGTGTCAGCAGGGTCACATTCTCTTTGAAGAGGCTTCCCTGTCTCTACCAGCTTCTGAAGACCCCAGACATTCTTTGGCGTACTGCCCAGCATCCCTTCAGTGCTCCCACATTCATGTGGCCATCTTCCCCCTGTGTTTCTGTGTCTCTTGTCTTTTATAAGGACAATGCTCATAATGGATCGCGAGTCACCTCCATCATGGCCTCATAACTAATGACATATTCAAAGACCCTATTTCCAAATCAGGTCATGTTCACAGGTATCAGGAATTTTTGGGGGGACACAAGTCACTCTGGAACACATGATTGTTCAAAATAGTGCAAACTGTGATGATAAATACCCTGTGATTCCAGCCATTGTGTTGACTTCTGTCGCTACAGAACAATGTCAGCTGAGTTTTGACTTGAGAAGGTCTGTTTTCACTGAAGACAGGATCCTGGTTAGGACGAACTGTTTCCTTTCCAGAACTTATTTTCAAATTGCTAATTCAATTTCCAGAATGAATAGAATGTCTTTTAGAATTTGCCAGTTTCCAGAAGAACACTCATTTGCAGAGGTCGGCTTTTAAGAACCAGCCAAATATTAAATAATTCTGTTCGTAGAAGTTGCAGCTTGAGACAATTATGATTCCATAATTCTACCACTCACACCCACACTATAAGAGATCTAAATATAAACACAAATTATAGGGATTGAGCAGATGGAAACAGGAGAGGAGAATGGGACAACAAGAGAGTGGAGGAGCGAGAAATTGGCCACATTGTCTGTTAGATCTTTTGGAGAGAAATAATATGATACAAGAGGGCTTCAAAAAGTTCTTGGGAAAATTCCATTATCTTTCAATTCCATTTTCCCATGATCTTTATGAAGCCCCCTCATATATGATATAAGGAACCCTGGGAGTGGGTTATGTGTTGGGCTTCTAACTTCAAGGTCAGCAGTTCAAATCCACCAGTTGCTCTGTGGGTGAAAGATGAGGCTTTCTGCTCCTGTAAAGATTTATAGCCTTGGATATCCTATACAGGGTCTCTCTGTGTTGGAACTGACTTGCTGGCAAACCACCACCAACAGTATAGAGGATGTTTTCTGTATAAGTACAGTCCCACGATAAGAAAGGAAACTCACCAGATTTTGTTTCTATACCCCAGTCACTTGTTGTGAACTGCTGCCAAGTCGGTTCCAACCCATAGCGACCCTGTATAGGGTTTCCAAGGAGCAGCTGGTGAGTTTGAACCGCCGATCTTGCAGTTCAAATCGCTTTGCAGTCTGGCGCATTAACACACAGCACCATGCCAGGACTCCACCAGGACTGTACCCCAATTGTTGTTGTTATGTGCCGTGGAGTCGGTTCCGACTCATAGAGACCCTATACAGGGTTTCCGAGGCTGTAAATCTTTACGGGAGCAGAATGCCTCATCGTTCTCCCGCGGAACAGCTGGTAGTTTTGAACTGCTGACCCTGAGGTTCGCAGCCTGATTCATAACCACTACGCTATCAGAGCTCCTATACCCCAATAGAAGTCACTAATTAAAAAAAAACTTTTTTAGGGGTAAAATATAATCAACAAAAAAACTCAATAATTTTTAGCAAGACTCGTGTAAGTCACTTTAAACACACCTAAACAACAAGGAGCTCTGGGTCGGAATCGACTCGACGGCACTTAACAACAACAAACAACCACATTCAGTTGATTAATTGGCCATTGTTATGCATTGAATTGTATCCTTCCAAAAATATCTAAATTCTAATTTGTAATTCCACTTTGGAATCGATTGTCTTGGTTACATTGCAGACTCAGGGGGTGTGTAGAGTGTATTTTGAGTCAATGTCTTACAAGATATAAAAGCAACAATTTAAGCAAGCAGAGATGGGGGAAAATAGATGTCAGGCCCCATGGAGATCTCCAAGGAACCAGGACACAAGCTAAAGAGACAAGGACCATCCCCCAGGTGGCTACAGAGACAAAGCCTTCCCTAGAGCCGCTACCCAGTCTCATAAACTGTAAAAAAGAAGTTTCTGTTTTGTCAAAGCCATCCACTTGTGGAATTTCTGCTAAAGCAGAACTAGAGTTCTAAGACAGAATTGTTGATTTTTGTCAAAGGAACCATGGTGGTACCATGGTTAGGAGCTTGGCTCCTAAACTAAAGTTTGGCTCCTCGTCAGCAGTTCCTCGTAAAGCAAGAGCTGACAGCCTTCTCTGTTATGGCCTCAGAAACACTATGGACATTTCCCCTCCGTTTTGTTAAGGCAGAATCCATTCAATAGTACACCACCACCACCAATGTTATAAAAGACGCTGAATGCATACTACGTAAATAAAATACCGTTGAGTTTAAAGCAGTGGTTTTTTGTTGCATGGAGTTTCTATTTTGGCCTCATTCCAGGAAATATGGACTTTTTAATTCTTCTAAGGGAATTTGATCTCTCTATCCTTTCAAGGGGATAAGAACCAAATGTGCAGGCTGAATAATTGCCTTTGTTACAGTGTTTCTTAGTGGCATTGTTATAACTTGCCCATTCGACATACTTTTGTTATTTATTTATTTATTTATTTATAGCAGCCCCTTTACTATGCCTTTAAAAAAAAAAAGTATTCGCCCCTATTTACTTATCGCCGCCCCCGCCGTAACCATCATGTTATTGTTGTTGTTATGTGCTGTTGAGTTGGTTCTGAACCATAACAACCCTGTATAAGATTTCTGAGGAGCAGCTGGTGAGCTTGAACCGCTGACCTTGAGGTTCAAAGTGATTTTGCAGTCCAGTGCATTACCCCACAGTGCAGAATGTTTCATTTAGCAAGAAAATCTTTTCTTAACTTTTTTTACAACATTGGTCTTATGTGATATGACTCATTTCACTCAACATAATGTCCTTCAGGTTCATCCATGGTGTGAGATGTTTTACAGCTTCCTTGTTATCTTCTACCTTGTATAATATTCCATTATGTGTCTACATACTTTCATGAGTGAGCTGATTTTTATAACCTTCAGTACTCGCTGTGTGTCTGTCTGGTAATGAGCATGGTCCATCCCTGGGGAGTAGAAGAATAGGAGTAGTTTAGTTTCTGGTGAAGACTTTTCTTTCTTTTTCTGTCTTCCTCCTGAGGCTAGTCTCCCTGGAGAAAATTTATGGTGCTGATTTCTGCCTCACTAACCTTTCCTTTTGAAATGAGGGTAAAACATACAGCCCATTTGCCCTTTGAAAGTATATTATAAGTCAATGGCTTTTAGTGTACTTACAAGGTTGTGCAACTGTCATTACTAATCCCAAAACATTGTAATCACCCCAAAAACAAACCTCACACCCAGTAATTGTCATACTTCACTCTATCCTCCGGCAACCACCTACATCTACTTCCTATCAATGAAGTCCTAGTGTGGAACTGTGGGTTAATGCTCTGGACTGCAGAGTTGGTTTGAACCACAAGGTAGGCAGTTCAAGCTCACCGGCTGCTCCATGGAAACCTTATACAGCATCAATATGAATCGGAACCTACTTGATGGCACTTAACAACAACAATAAATCTATGGATTTGCCTCTTTTGGGTGTATCCTACAGAGGCAGGCTTTGGAGATACTGCAGCTTGGGTTCCAGGTGATAGTTATAAAGCAAAGAGCATGATAAAGTTGTATGGCTTTGTTTGCTTCCCAGTGCATAGAACAGTTATGTCTCCACTAGACTGTAGTCTATGAAAGAGCCCTGGTGGTTAGGCATTGGTTTGGGAACCCCAAGAACAGCAGTTTGAACTATTTACCAGCTGCTCTGTGGGAGAAAGCCGAGGTTGTCTGCTCTGGCAAAGTTTGCAGTCTTAGACCCCCAAAGGAGCTCTCTGTCCTCTAGTGTTGCTGTGAGCTGGAATTAACTCACTGGCAGTGGATTGGTGGTTGATTAAGATTGCAATAAATAGCATTGTGAAACATTTGAAATATCATGAGGAGAACCAAAAAGAGACACAAAGACGTGAATGAAGTGACCTCACATTGTTAAGAATGGTACCGGTAGACTTGCTTGGCATGGGGTTGCCATGAACGTCACTTTGTAAACGAAAAACAAAACTGCAATGTCTCTGATGCCCAATAAAACGGGGGTTGTGTCTGTAACTTGAATCCTATAACTTGTGGCCTTTTGGACCTGGCTGCTGGTACTCAGTGTGGAGTCTTGCGAAGGCTCATCCCCGCTGTAGCATGCTGTTGAGGACTTTCTTAGAGCGGTACCCCTCTTCATGGGTCAGCGTGCGATCCTTTCTTGGGACGCATCCCACGCTGGACTCAGTGCACCAATGTCTTGCTGCTTTTCCTCTGTTCTCCAGACCATGACTTGGGCATTTGGATGGAACAGCTCCCTCCCGGTCTTCAACCTTCAAGACGAACAGCACACCATTCTTCTGTACGTCTGCGCGCACACCGCCATCATCTACGACGTTTTCAACAACAGTCAGCACCACCTTCAGGTACGCTGTTCTTTCGTCCTGAAAGTGCATGGAGCCTGGGGGTTTCATACTTCACGGGCCAACTTGTTGACATCACTGTCATTCTTGGTGACCTCTCTTTAGAACCACAGCACATCCCACCTTTAGAAACAGATTTTTGTTTTCATCGTCTCTCATCTCAGCTGAATCCATTCATGTACAGCAGTTGCTATTTGTTTAATAATTATAAAAATTTAAAGCAATTAAAAATTTTTTTATAAAAATGCAGGCAGAATTTTCTTACGGTTGAACTTCTTGTTGCCTGGGAAGTCCAGTGGAACATAAGCCAAACCCATTGCCATGGAGCTGATGCCAAGTCATACTGACCCTCTGTGTTGTTGCTGTTGTACGGTGCCATGGAGTGGGTTCCAACTCCTAGTGACCCCATCACAGCAGAAAGCACTGCCCAGTCCTGCCCCATCCTCACACTTGGTGCCACGGAGTGTTCACTTGTAGTCATTGTGCCAGTCCCAGTCCATCTTGTTGGGAGTCTTCCTTTTTTTTTTTTTTTTTTTTGTCATCGATGTTAAATGCTGTCAAGTTGGTTCTGACTCATAGTGACCCCTGTGTAGGGTTTCCGAGGAATGACTACTGGGTTTGAACCACCGATCTTGGGTTCAAACCAACCTAGTGGTGGAATGCTTATCCTACAAGCGCTTACCCTTGGCCCTCTAGGACCAAGTAGAATGGTCCCGTAAGGTTTTCAAGTCTTCAGTCTTTATGGGAGCAGACTGTCACCTCGTTCTCTTATGCAGTGACTGATGGGTTTGACGTTTTATTAGAATCTAAGCACATAACCATGGCACCACCAGCATTCCTTACGGTGGATGTGAGTTCTCATCAGCCCCATGGCAGTGGGTTTGGTTCAGCAGAGACTCAGATAATGAAGACTGATACTCCTTCCCAGTTTCTAAAAGGCTTGGATCTTCATAATCATGCCGAGAACTGGGGATGCACCCCCATTTTACAGATGAGTAAACCAAGGCCTGGAGAGATTGAAGTGACTCACATGATTGTACTAGTAGATGGTGAAGCCACATCTTGAATCTAAGCCTCCTGACTTGAATGTGTTATATCGAATGAGGTGATCTTCTGTCACTTCCTTTCTTCAGCAGCTGTGTGTACTTTGGTCCTTCCCCATCCCACCTTCCGCACTTCTTCTGAGCATGTCCTCTACACACCACTCTACTGCTTCCATGCTGGACATTCTGGACACATTTTATTGTCATCACTGATCTTTCCACAAATCCTAATTCCTTAGCATCTGCCGTTCCCCTCGTTGACCTTGCAAACAGTTCCATATTACCCTTCCCAACAGGCCTGTCTTACCTTGCTCAAAATGATCAGAGTCTTTCCCAGGAGCTTAGTTAACACTCAGCATTGGGCCAAGAATATGTTTTCCTGGAGGGGAGTCCAGAGAAGGGCTCATGAAACAATTAGGAGGAAGCAAGGTTTGGTTGGATGTATGGCTCTTAGCACATGGCCATGCAGGGGAAAAGGGGGGCTCAGATAGGAGGGAGGGGGCTCAGACAGGAGGGAGGGGGCTCAGACAGGGAGGAGGAGCAGGGCTCAGACAGGGAGGGGGATCAGGGGGCTCAGACAGGAAGGAGGACCAGGGGGCTCATACAGGAAGGGAGGAGCAGGTGGCTCAGACAGGGAGGAGGAGGAGAGCTGGAGGCTGGGCTGGGCTGGGGCAGGCGGGAAGATGCGATACCAGTGTGCCAGCCTCCCCAGAGTTGATAGCTGAGGATGCCCTTGGCCTAGCACTCTGTCATTGGTTCCACAAGGACTTAACTAACCCTAACCACTACCCTCATAATGCTTACTGTCTAGTAGGAGAGACAGACCTTGTTCTAAGTGTTCAAAAGGAAATGTAAAAATTTCATGAGAAAGAGTAATCAGGGGTGAGCAGAGATTTACTTTAGATTGTGTGGTGGTGGGGGGCAATGAAACAGCACCATTTATGCTGGGACCTGAGGGAGAAGCGTGGGTGCACAGGGGCATTGTGGGTGAAGAACATTCCACACAGGAAGCTCTGGGTGAGGCTGAGAGGAATACCAGGGGATGGATGCAGCAGAGAGAAGGGAGCTAGGGGAGGAGAGGCAGGGAGCAGCATTATCTGTGTTTCCAGAAGATTCCTTAGCTGTGTGAGGAAGGATTATGGGGGTAATAGTGGAAGCTGAGAGACCAGTGAAGAGTCTGTGAACAAGATTTTAAGGAGAGGGGGCTGGCGAGGCTTTGGGGTGCTTGGAAGACAGGGATCCCAGGCATCTGTTCTCCACTTGAGTAGGGAGTTGCTGCATGATTGGACCACAAGGGAACCCTGTTTTCCAGGAGTAAAGCTTGTCCTTCAGGTGTTTTGAGGAAGGACATGTTTGAAAACCATAGGCTGGGAAAGATGGGCACACTGAGGAACTAGACTTTTGGGTCAGCCGCTCCATGAATGGATCTCGCCTCGGTGAGGCCTGACCTCTCTGTTACCCACCCACCCATCCCTCAGCATCTTGTCTCCATTTCCTCAGGGCCACGCCAATGTGATCTCCTGTCTCTGCGTCAGTGAAGACAGGCGGTGGATCGCCACAGCCGACAAAGGGCCCAACTGCCTGATAATCATATGGGACTCCTTCACAGGGTAGGCTACGCGCGGCCACTTTTGTCTTTCCTGTTTTCTGTAGAGTATCTGCTACAGTGTCAAAGCAAAGAATGAGTAACAGTGGTTCAGGCATGCAGAAGCCAGCGATGGCTTGTGGGGTGGTTCTGGGTGGCCAGGGAAGGACCTGATGGAGTGTCATTGTTTCTGACATCGTGACCCTACGTACAACAGCAGGAAACACTGCCTGGTCAGTCCTGCGTCATCCTCACGATGGTTGCTATGTTTGAGGACAATGTTGTAATCGCTGTGTAATCCTTCTCTTGAGGGTCTTCTTCTTTTTCGCCGACCCTCTATTTTACCAAGCATGATGTCCTTCTCCAGGGATCGATCCCTCTTTATAACATGTTCAAGCGCCATCATTGCTTCTAAGGAGCATTTGGGTTGTACGTCCTCCCACGCAGATTTGTTCACTCTTCTAACAATCCATGTTGGCCATGGATTCTTTGCCAACACCATACTTCAAAGGCATTAAATCTTCTTTGGTCTTCCTTATATATTGTCCAATTTTCACATGCATCCGAGGCAATTAAGACCATCATGGTGTGGGTCAGGTGCACCTTAGTCCTCAAGGTGGGGTCTTTGCTTTTTAACTTTTTTTTTTTTTCTTTAATTTAAGGTTTTTATTGTGGATTGAGTGAAAGTTTACAGGGCACACCATCAGTTTCACATTCAACCATTCATATTACTGGTTTCATCACATTGATTATAATCCCATCCATATAC